TTTGTTTTTCTTTTCTAGTTTCTTTAAAAAATTTTTTTAAATCATTTTTTAAAATTTATTTTCAGCATAACAGTATTCATTGTTTTTGTACCACACCCAGTGCTCCATGCAATCCGTGCCCTCTCTAATACCCACCACCTGGTTCCCCCAACCTTCCACCCCCCCACCTCTTCAAACCCTTCAGATTGTTTTTCAGAGTCCATAGTCTCTCATGGTTCACCTCCCCTTCCAATTTCCCCCAACTCCCTTCTCCTAACTCCCCATGTCCTCCATGCTATCTGTTATGCTCCACAAATAAGTGAAACCATTTGATAATTGACTCTCTCTGCTTGACTTATTTCAGTCAGCATAATCTCTTCCAGTCCCGTCCATGTTGCTACAAAAGTTGGGTATTCATCCTTTCTGATGGAGGCATAATACTCCATAGTGTATATGGACCACATCTTCCTTATCCATTCGTCCATTGAAGGGCATCTTGATTCTTTCCACAGTTTGGCAACCATGGCCATTGCTGCTATAAACATTGGGGTACAGATGGCTCTTCTTTTCACTACATCTGTATCTGTGGGGTAAATACCCAGTAGTGCAATTGCAGGGTCATAGGGAAGCTCTATTTTTAATTTCTTGAGGAATCTCCACACTGTTCTCCAAAGAGGCTGCACCAACTTGCACTCCCACCAACAGTGTAAGAGGGTTCCCCTTTCTCCACATCCCCTCTAACACATGTTGTTTCCTGTCTTGCTAATTTTGGCCATTCTAACTGGTGTAAGGTGATATCTCAATGTGGTTTTAATTTGAATCTCCCTGATGGCTAGTGATGATGAACATTTTTTCCATGTGTCTGATAGCCATTTGTATGTCTTCATTGGAGAAGTGTCTGTTCATATCTTCTGCCCATTTTTTGATATGATTATCTGTTTTGTGAGTGTTGAGTTTGAGGAGTTCTTTATAGATCCTGGATATCAATCTTTTGTCTGTACTGTCATTTGCAAATATCTTCTCCCATTCCGTGGGTTGCCTCTTTGTTTTCTTGACTGTTTCCTTTGCTGTGAAGAAGCTTTTGATATATAGATAATTTTTTAACCTATTTACCATCACAGTGAGCTGTCCAGTACATCAAATTCATAATAACCTTCTAACCTGAACTTTTTGATAAGTACACCTGTGTTTTTCTTTTGTATTTCTATTTTTTGAATTTTTTTAAATTTTAGTTTAGTTTAGTCTAGTTTATTCCTTTTTTATTTTTATTTTCTAATATTCATATAGAGTTAAACTTCAAAGTAATCCCCTTTCCCCAATCAATACTACCCCTATAGGTAAACCAATTTTTAATCCCCCTTTAGCCTAGGAAAGTTGAGTCCTTTAACAAAGATATCAAGATACATCCAGGAAGAATCAAAACAACCTTCCTCACCCACACTGAGAATTTATAACCACTCTCCCATCTTTTTCTTCCACCAGTGTTTCTGTGTTTTTGTGTTTGTCCTGATAGTATATAAATCTTACACTTGGGGTTCTTGTCGACAAGGTTCTTCCTTTATTTGTATATATATATTGCTTTTCTCTTGTTATATACTTTTATCAGTCTTTATGTTTGTCTGTTTTTGTTTGTATACCTCATAAATCTTACCTTGGGGCCCATTTGGGCTGAACCTTCTCTTTCATCTTCCCTTTCTTTCCTGTCTCTCTCTCTTTCTCTTTTTTCTTTTTCTTTTCTTTTTTCTCTCATTTGGGTGGGGAATCCTGATTGCTCAGAAGTGTTCCAGGGTGCACCCAGACTGCACCCCAGTCGATGCAACCAGCTACATCTGTTCAGTCATCTCTCACCAAAATGACTAGGAGGAGGAATGTCCAACAGAAGAAAAATACAGAGGATGGACCTTCTACAACAGAGCTAACGGCTATCAACATAGACAATATGTCAGAAAGAGAATTCAGGCTAACAATTATCCAGGCAATAGCTAGGTTGGAGAAAGCCATGGATGACCAAACGGAATTGATTAGGGCTGAGCTGAAAGCGACCAGAGAGGATGTTCACAATGTTAAGGCAGAGCTAAAAGCTACCAGGGCTGAGGTTCACAATGCTCTCAATGAGTTCCAATCTAATCTAAATTCTCTCAAAGCTAGGGTAACTGAGACAGAAGATAGAATTAGTGATCTGGAGGACAAACAGATAGAGAGAAAGGATCAGGAGGAAGCCTGGAACAAACAGCTTAGAAACCATGAAAACAGAATCAGGGAAATAAATGACGCCATGAAACATTCCAACGTCAGAATTATTGGAATCCCTGAAGGGGAGGAGAAAGAAAGAAATCTAGAAGATATAGTGGAACAAGTTCTTCATGAAAATTTTCCCAATCTTGTGAATGGAACCAGCGTTCATGTACTAGAGGCCGAACGGTCTCCACCCAAGATTATAGATTCCAGAAAAACATCAAGGCACCTGATAGTTCAAATTGAGGAATCATAATTTTAGGTATAATCTCTTGAAAGCTGCTAGGACAAAGAGGCTCCTTAATTTTTTATTTTTTAAATTTCTTTTCAGTGTACCAGAATTCATTTTTTATGCACCACACCCAGTGCTCCATGCAATACATGCCCTCCATAATACCCACCACCAGGCTCACCCAACTTCCCACTCCCCACCCCTTCAAAAACCTCAGATTGTTTTTCAGAGTCCATAGTCTCTCATGGTTCATCTCCCCCTCCAATTTCCCCCAATTCCCTTCTCCTCTCCATCTCCCCATGTCCTCCGTGTTATTTCTTATGCTCCACAAATAAGTGAAACCATATGATAATTGATGCTCTCTGCTTGACTTATTTCACTCAGCATAATCTCTTCCAGTCCTGTCCACGTTGCTACAAAAGTTGGGTATTCATCCTTTCTGATGGAGGCATAATACTCCATAGTGTATATGGACCACATCTCCTTATCCATTCATCCCCTGAAGGGCATCTTGGTTCTTTCCACAGTTTGGCAACCATGGCCATTGCTGCTATAAATATTGGGGTACAGATGGCCCTTCTTTTCACTACATCTGTATCTGTGGGGTAAATACCCAGTAGTGCAATTGCAGGGTCATAGGGAAGTTCTATTTTTAATTTCTTAAAGAATCACCACACTGTTTTCCAAAGTGGCTGCATCAACTTGCATTCCCACCAACAGTGTAAGAGGGTTCCCTTTTCTCCACATCCTCTCCAACACACGTTGTTTCCTGTCTTGTTAATTTTGGCTGTTCTAACTGGTGTAAGGTGGTATCTCAATGTGGTTTTTATTTGAATCTCCCTAATGGCTAGTGATGATGAACATTTTTTCATGTGTCTGATAGCCATTTGTATGTCTTCATTGGAGAAGTGTCTGTTCATATCTTCTGCCCATATTTTGACATGATTATCTGTTTCATGTGTGTAGAGTTTGAGAAATTCTTTATAGATCCTGGATATCAGTCTTTTGTCTGTAATGCCATTTGCAAATATCTTCTCCCATTCCATGGGTTACCTCTTTGTTAAGATGAAGAGTACTAGACAGGTATCTTGTTATTGTGTCTTCCAATTTGTGTTTGTCTGTTGTTTTCTCATTGACTAGGAGTTACATATTTTTGGGAAGAATACCATAGAGGTGAAGCGCTCCTTTATTATATCTTACTAGCATCTACATGATACCAATATGACTTATTACTGGTGAAGGTGGTTACTTATTACCTTACTTGGATAAGGTAGTATCTGCCAGGTTACTGTTTTTCTTTTCTGATATTCGGTTTGTTAGAAATGAGCCACTAAGTTTAATGGACACTAGAGGAGAAGGGAATTAAATACCTCTTGGAGAGAGAAGTATCATAGAATTTGTGGAGATAGGGGGGGAACCACTACAGTTTATAATAAATACTTAATATATTTATTATATATTTGGGAGAGATCTTAAGACTATGTAAATATTCTGGTTTCCTTACAGTTTTTACTCTAATTTTGCCATTAATCCATGATTTTGCCTGCACTAACACTGGTGTTGTAATGGTGAATTTATATTTCTCTGATTTTTTCTATGTGCATTATTTGGAATTTTTCTGTTAGAAATATTTGTCCCTTCTCCTTCACCCATTTATTTATTCAATCATTTATTTATAGCAGTATGGACTCATGCATATTTATTTTATCCTACTGGTTGACTTTTGAGTACATTGTATAACATTCTGTACAGCATCCTCTACATTTCCTATAAGAGATCTCAGACACTTTATACATCAGACAATGTGACTCATCCATTCAACATTTCATATATCTTAAAATATACTGCCATGTAATACAGGACATTGAAAATACATAATTCTCATGAAATGATTTGACTCTCCAAACTTGTACACATAAGTGAACAGAAACCTCATTCTTTTCTTTGCACAACTACTTTTACTCCAAATCCCTAAGGCTAACTCCCAAAATCTCAATAACATTCACAAACTGCTATAATCTTGTCTCTGTTGCACATGGATGCACATTTCTGAAGTTGACTTGTCTTCATTGTGTTTTGCAGGAAGGATGGGTGGTAACAGAATTTGAAGGCAGAAGAAAGAGAAAGAGGGTTTATCCTGACCAGCACAATCTACACACATATAATTGCAAACAGTGGATAGATAATTTTGTGATTAGATCAGAATTTTCTTTTTTTAAATTATGTTCAATTAGCCAACATACAGTGCATCTTTAGATTTTGATGTAGTGTTCAATGATTCATTAGTTGTGTGTAACACCCAGTACTCATCACATCACATGCCCTCCTTAATACCCTTAACCCAGTTACCCCATCCCCTCACCTTCCTTCCTTCTGTAACCCTGAGTTTGTTTCTTGGGGTCCAGAGCCTTTCATGGTTTGTCTTCCTCTCTGATTTCTTCCCATCCAGTTTTCCCTGCCTTCTCCTATGGTCCTCTGTGCTATTCCTTATATTCCACATATGAATGAGTTTTCATTGCTTTTCCAAAGAAAAAATAAAGTCAGACAGAGAAGAAATAACAGAGAGGTGATTTAACCTGAAATATAAAACCTTTTACTATTTTGACAGCTTTCTACCTTGCTACTTGATATCAAGAATTTTCATGGCTGAGCTTTCTCTTCACTGGACTATGGGTGAGTTCTCTGAGCTAACTGGTTTATCTGAACATAGCTCCCCAGCTAAGGCTTCCTGATCCTGGGAATTCTATGAGAAAGTGAAAAATATATAGTCTATCATGTGTTGGCATTACCTACCCAAATTCATAAAACTGTTTTGGCTGAGATTCTTTATTGAGTTGGTTTACTTTTTTGTTAGCATGTCTGAATTGAACAGTGCCTTTGGCATCCACTAGCCCCCATTGGATATCCTTAGCAGTTGTATCTTTATGAAGCAGAAGGGGACCAAACAGGGCTTCTGAATGATCCTATTCATTCATCCACAGAGGCATTACTTCCTGCCTCACAGCCTCCCCAAAGAAAGCTCTTTCTATTTCCTCTCTGGCTCTCCAAGGCTCTATAACTTCAGCTTTTCACTCCCCCACCACGTGGGTCATTTCCAGTCTTAGTTTATTTAGGCCAGTGTCTTTCTTCATATACATGTGTACATTGGGTTTCTCCATGTGCTTGGTTTCCTCTCCTCACCAGTTGCCTTTTTCTACAGATGACAGTATTTGCATTCAAACAGAAAAGAAGTCTGTCCTCTTCATTCCTGGGGCAGCCACCTGCCTTCAGCCACCAGAGCTCCTTTGTTACATTCTTGATTTGGGGTAGACTGTAGAACTGGATATGGTAGAACAGAATTCCAGAGTCATTTACCTGAGCAGTTTACATCCCTTGGACCTCTCCAAGCAGCTTTCTGTATCTCCAGTAAGATTCAAATTCCTCTTTCTGACCTCTCTGGCTCATAAATTTCAATAAATGTGTGAGCTCTGTGTCCACATTTCTTGGTTTGCTTTGACTCACACCAGAGGGGTAGTTAGAGCAGGATGAGTGGTCCATTATGAGTGTTCTAAAATACATATACACTTCTATGTATGCACCCATTTATTAAAAAATTTTTTTTTGTTGGCATTGACGAAGCAGACAGGAAACACATATCATGAGCAGATACTAATGTATTCAATTATTCATTCAAAAGCCATTTTCAGGGCAACTAGCATTGTCACGTAGCAATTACTGTGACTATAAGGTTACTACCATGAATTCACTCATGAAGCTGACTATGCAGCAAACATCAGCTAAGAACCAAGTCTCTACTCAAATTTCCAGAATGGCAAGGATGAACAAGACAGGGAAGTGTCCCTGTCCTTAAGAACTCATTTTCTAGGGGCGCCTGGGTGGCTCAGTGGGTGAAGCCCCTGTCTTCAGCTCAGGCCATGATCCCAGGGTCCTGGAGTCGAGCCCCACATCGGGCTCTCTGCTCAGCAGGGAACCTTCTTTCCCCTCTCTTTCTCTGCCTGCCTCACTGCCTACTTGTGATCTCTGTCAAATAAATAAATAAAATCTTAAAAAAGCTCATATTCTGGTGTATTCATGCAAAGTGTCAAGGAATAAAGCTAACACTTGTGTTGGATACTTCATGTAATATATTAAACTCATTAAATTTTCACCAATATCCTTAAGGTATACTGATATTTTTATAGTACCTTCTCAAGGTCCTCTAGTTCTCCCACCTGGTCCCTTTCTCACTGTCTTTGTCTGTTGCGAAGTTCACATGGATGACACAGACATGCAATCAAATATGCTGTGAAATATGTACCAAATAGATATATGGTCAAGATGCTAAGGGTCAGGAAAGAAACATTGTTCACTGCCCTGGAAGGTAAGGCTCCTCAAAGTTTATTGTGCATTAGGATTACTTGGGAAGCTTGCTTAAAATTTTTAGGCTTGGCCTCTAGTCTTGGAGGTTCTGATTCAGTACATTTAAGGTAGGAAGAAGGGATCTGTGTTCTAACAAATAATCTAAGTTATTCTAATGGAGAGAATTTTGACAAAGAGTAGTCTAGGAGTAGGTAAGATTCCTAGGTCATGCAGGTGACTCCTTTAGGAGCCCAATGCAGCCAAATTAGTTTCTTACTGATATTCTAATGTATGGAATCATTGCCAGATGGATTTATTTATCCATTTCTTGATTTTTTTTCTGGGTATCACTATCATTTAATATCTTACTGTGAACCACATCACCAACTGCACTGATCCTTGACAGAAGAAATGTAGGTGCATAAAACACAAAGTTAAGGTAAAGAATAGTGGGGAAAGGCAAAGACTCAATTCCCAGGATCAGTTGAGAGACAAAGTATGAGTCTCTGCATGAGACTTTTTTCACAAGTATCTGCTTCATGGCTACATCCAAATAGGTCAAGTATATGGAGATTAGTTCAATGTCCCTCACCTCATTTCTTCTGCCTGAGACCTACTTCATGCACCATTCACTCTTCTCTGAACTCTTTCTTCTCTGATTGGACATCTCTCAGAATTCTGTCTCCTTGGAGCCTTCCCAGACTTCCAGACATAAATTTACCTTTTCACATCATCTCTCAAGATTCCCAGGTCCTCTGTATGTAGGGCTGAGCATGTGTTCTTGAGTATGCTCTTGATTACAGGTATGGCTCTTAGCCTATAAACTCAGGTGTGCAAGAAATACTGCATTTATTTCCTCTAAATTAACAAAAATATAATCCTGATTCCTCATGTCTTCAAACCATTTGGAAATTCAGTCTGCTATCCTGGTAGTCCCCAGACAGAAAGGTCCCAGGGTCTTATGAGTACCACAACTTTGGGGAGCCCTTCTAGTCCTGGGCAATGATCTATATTGGTTAGGGCTGCCTGTCATCCCTTCAGGGTGCTACTTCCAGTCTGGTGGCTCTGTTTATTTGTGTCACACTGAGAACATCAAGATTCTATGGAGGTTGGACACCCATTGTTCGTGGACTAAGTCCTTTTGGTCTCACAGGTATCCTCTCTTGAGTTTTTGCACAGTATCCCCAAATAATGTTATCAAGGAAAAGGGGATGGTGCTTCACTCATGGTGAGAACTTGAACAATCTGTCTGAATAGTTTAGGTTTTGTTTGGAGGTGGAATTGAAAGCCAACTTCTTTTTGTATAAGTCACCAATGGGAGGACTTGTTAAGACTGATGTTAAGGACTTGTGTCATTTTTTTCTGTTAGAGAGAGGCAAAAATGATTTTTTTGGCTGCTTTTTTTGGAAAATAATATTGATATTGAAAGCTTACTGTATAACAGGACTTGGACTATGATATCCTATCTAATCTTTATAATACATTTAGAGAGAGACATAGCAACCCCCAGGTTTTGCAATTAAAGGGGAAGAACAAGGGACTGAGAGTACAAGGTTTGTCTAATACAAAAAAATTTAGGTACAGAAAACTGAAGTCAACATGGGTCTCTTGACTCTGAGACCAATTTTTGTCTTCCCACATCATATATGTCTATCTGGCATTGCTGTACATTTGACTAAAAGGATTAGTCCTCCAAAACCCCCTTTCTTTAGGGAGCAGTGTGCATTGAAACTGACTTCCCATTTACGATGAAAGCTGTAAAACATCTTTAATATTTCGAAAATGAAATCTTAGCAGATGTCAAGGAGTTTCATTTAAGAGTTTCTTTGGTCATTTGCTTGTAGGTATAAAGAGTCTAAGAAAAATCAACTTTTTTTTTTTTTTAAAGATTTTATTTATTTATTTGTCAGAGAGAGAGAGGGAGAGAGAGCAAGAACAGGCAGACAGAATGGCAGGCAGAGGCAGAGGGAGAAGCAGGCTCCCTGATGAGCAAGGAGCCCGATGTGGGACTCGATCCCAGGACGCTGGGATCATGACCTGAGCCGAAGGCAGCTGCTTAACCAACTGAGCCACCCAGGCGTCCTGAAAAATCAACTTTTGAAGGTTACATGCTAAATTGACATAAGCACTGAGGATCCTCCTCTACCTTTAACTCCTTTTCCTGAAGTAAAATATATAATTTGTTGCTAAAAAAAAGACAAAAGCATATCTTCATAGTCATAATGATCCTTATGTTTTGATGGAAATCCTCCCGTGTCTAAAGTCACATTGGGAGAGTTAGGTCACTTTACATACAGTATGTGTTCTGTCCTCCAAGTGCCCTTTGGCTAAATCAGCCCAGACTGATGCATTCATGACCTCATTCAACTTCAAATTCTCTAGAGGAAGAAATCCTTCAACTTTTCTTCTTCCATTATTTCACAATCCTTTATCTTAAGCATGCTTTTCTACCTGTGCAACTTACATATTGCCCACTGTGATTTCAGTGGTTTCCTCTTGATACATCTTCAGAAAAGATGGAGAACAGCTGGCTTCTGCTCTGCATATAATAACTCCTCTGAGACCCAAATGCTGTTATTCATTTCCTTACCTTTAATGGAAGACATTTTTGCTGGACATTTTGGAGGGTCCACCGGATACAGCTTTTAATAAAATACCCATAAACTGAAGGAAAGTCACCAGATAGGAGATGACCTCTCTTGGAACCAAACCATCATCAGGACCATAAAATTTAAAGGCAGAACCCATCTGGAGGAGTCCAGGCTGCTGGAACAGCCACCTTTTTTCCCTTTCCTTCTTTTTTTTTTTTTTTAACAAGTCAGTGTTCAGTGTGGTTAGAACCATCAACCAATGGCAAGATATTGGCACCATTAATATTTACTCTCAAGTAACTAACTTGAAATCAAAAGGAAATAGGTTTAGACCTAAGGAAATCACAACAAGGAGAATAAAAGAAAATATAGGCATTGTCATCATTTGTATTTTGGTTCTTGTTACTTCCAATATTTAATCATCCCACAAATTATTCTGCCCCATGGTGTCCCAGGCACTGCCCAAGGCACTGGGGCTACAGCTGTGACAGAAACAAGTCATTATTATTATCCCCTTAGAGTAAATATCCAATTCCCTCAAACAAATCTTGTTAAATGCAATCCCTGCGACTTAACACTCTTTTAAGCCAGAATAGGAAGATTGATATAAATCCACTGAAAGAAAGTTAAAAAAAAGTGAAAAATATTAAAAAAAAATGAGAGACAGCGTAATCTTTGAAGAAGCTTGGAATGAAAGAACAGACTCTTAAAATTGCAAGGGGTGGGGTGGGCTTTGGTAACTATAAATGCAAAGTCCTGAGATCTTGGTGTCTTCAAGGAAAGGTAAGAAGAGATATGTTCTGGGAGCACTGTCAGAGACGGAACAATGGTGGGAGATGAGGTCAGAGAAAGTCAGAGGCGGGGCTGCTAGGGACCTGCAGACCAGCTACAAACTTGGAAACCACACATAAGAAGGGGATGTTTGGGGCCTCCAACAGGGCAGAGACTTGGCTGTCTCCTCAGCTTATACAACAGTGTCTGACTTATAAAGGGATCAGTAAATATTTCTCACATTGATGGATGCATTTGTGCTCCTCCTTGGATGCTCACTCTCTCAGATGTTTTCTTTCTTGTCAGGCACTTTCTTTAAAGAGGCAGGGAATTGAAAGCACCACTCTTAAGCTGCCTGGCCATTGGGCATGACTAGTACCTCCACTGAGGTACATTTTGTATCTATCCCTACAGCCCTGAGACATTTGCTTCTAAAGGAGCCTCATCTCATGGCTCATGTGAAATTGTGGGGAGGTCAGGAATAAAGCATATACCATGCACCTCATGCTGAACTAAAGCCAGAGTGTAAGTGGCAGCTGCTCTCTCTGTCACAGCCCCCCTCCCTTGACTAGTGTGAGCCAAGTTTCTCTACAGTCTCTTCATGTAACTTTTGGTTTGAATGGAAATGTGGAACCTTATGTTTATCGCCATTAAATTTCATCTTCTTGGTTCCCACTCTTTGTCTCCTGGAGAGGGCTGAACACACTTGTTCTTTAGAACATGGGTGAGTGGCCATGCAATCTTCAGAGCAAAGGCCCTCAGGGTGTCTTGCTAGGAAATGATGGTGGTAAGAAGAATGTGTGGTGGGTAGGCTACTGGAGAGACAAATTAAGAAAGGCATGAAGTTGTGTAAGACAGGGCAGACTTGGGACGCCTGGGTGGCTCAGTTGGTTAAGCGGCTGCCTTCGGCTCAGGTCATGATCCTGGTGTCCTGGGATCGAGTCCCACATCAGGCTCCTTGCTTGGCAGGGAGCCTGCTTCTCCCTCTGCCTCTGCCTGCCACTCTGTCTGCCTGTGCTTGCTCTCTCTCTCTGACAAAAAAAAAAAAAAAAAAAAAAAAAAGGCAGACTTGGAAGTCAGATTGGTTTGCATTTAAATCCCCAATCTCCCACCTCCTGTGAACTGCACACATTAAATAATCTCTCTGAACTTTGACATCAGTAAGTTGGGAATGAAAGACTTCTGTGTTATTTTGACCATCAACAGGCAAAGATGAGAATTGTCTAGTCGTGTAACTCACAGCAGACCCTGACTAAAGGAGGTGGTTACTGCTGGCTGAGTTAGGTAGTGTTCTGATGAGGTTCTAACACTCTTGGGATCCTCATGTAGAAGACATTATTGTTTCCAGTTCCCAGTTGTGAAAACTACGTGCTTAAGGATTAGTGGCAAGTAATCACTAATGAGTGATTGAATCAGGATTCAAATCCAGGCTTGTTGCATTGCATGGTGTCTTCCCAAAGATCAGAGACTCTGTGATCCATCTGGAGGTTAGGGAGGCTCTAAGAGGTTTTTATAGTGGGAAGAGTGGCTGAGTCTGAGAGGAAAGCCTGTAAGCAGTGAGGCAGTGAGGGCACAGGGCCCCTATATGCAGCAGAGCTGCTGACATGATCCAGTGAGATCACAGAAGGGAAGAGTCAGTGCAGGGGTGGCCCCCTATAATAAGTATAAAGAGGCCCAGGATAGGTAAACTCTTAGGAAGTCAGGGCATTCCTTTGAGCTTGTAGTGACTTCACGCTGTTGTATTCCTTTCTGCCCTATTCACATCTCTTGGAAAAGTTTGATCAGCCCAATTTATATTGCCTGGAAATGGCTCAGTTCCCTTTGGAGTAGATTGGCTCTCTTCCAGAGAAGTGAAACAAGAGCTGGAGGAGATAAAGAGAAGAGCAACAATGTCATCTTACCACACTATTATTTATGTGTGATTTACTGAACACCTAGAGTGTAGGAGGCACAATACATGGTCACATTTAATCCTCTTATTATCTTTGGAATGAACACAGGTTTTGTGACCTGTCCATGCGAGAGGCAGGCCTGAAAGTTTGACCTTAGACTCTTGGCTTCAGGAACTCACGTGAGGCTGGCTCAGGAAGGGAGAGGGCATGGAGAGGAGGTTGCTGCCAGGTGCCCGGTCCTTGGTCTAAGCTTTGGCATGCAGAGAGCTTTTGGCAGGTCAGGCCAGAAATTGCCCTTATGGAAGTCTAGCCATTTGTAAGATCTTGTGGGTCCAAGACATTGGGCAAATCATCTGATTTCCTTTTTCCACTCAACATTCTCAAGCCAACTTGGGTGGCTTATTTACATCCTGCATTCAGATTAGTCTGTTTGGACACACCAGGAGAACATAAAAAGTCTGTATAGAAAAATTAGTGATTTAGGTTCTTTTTCAGAGAGAAGATGGGAGATGAACTGTTTTAGATAACTTAACACATCCTTTTCTTTCTAAGATGGGGGTGGGGTGCTCGAGATCTTTTTTAACCCCAGCATGTTTTGCAGGGCTCTCACAGCTGATGTAGTAGCAGAGAATAACTTAGCAGCCCTTGAACAAAGTTATGCAGTGTGGAGGGGGCAGTTTCTCTGTTTCCTTATTTTCAGTTCCAGAAGAATCCAATCTTCTGTGTAGGCTGTCTGACATAGGCCATGGCCTTGTCGGTGGCTCCTTAATTAACAAAGAGCTTTTTATTTATCCAGTGCAAAGCTTGTCTTACCTCCTTCCCCTATCCGCTAAGCCAGCCATGCAAATCAGCACGTACTGAGACCTCAAAGAAATCCAACAGTGGACTTAAAAGAATCCTCGCAGCTAGCCGAGGTGGGGCGGCGGGGCGGGTGGTTTAATAAGCCTGGCCTCTCCTTTTCTTCTCCTTGCATTCAGTTTTTATAGGACTGTCAATGTGTTTGCTGGGGGAAAATGCTGGGACTCCCAGAGGCAGTCAGGGAGTTGCGGTGGTTAGGGGAGCATTGGGAAGGTAAAGGGAAGTGTGGCTTGGACCACAGCCAGTGACTGGACAATTCAGAATTTCCATAGCCTTGTGCTTGGGGAAAACACTTGGCAAAGCTGTAGCCTGAAATATATAAGCCTAGCTTTTTAGCCTCCAGGGCCTCAAACTGTGTATATGTTCCCTTCCCCTATAAGCCTCAGGCTAGCTTTAATCTCTCTTGCAGAGAGTCCTGGGCTGGCTGGTCCAGAGGAGTTGGGGTTCACCTGCAGGCGCTGGCCCCCCCAAACAGTTATGAAGACGTCTTGGGCTGTCAGACTCTTGGGGAGCAGCCCCCGCTGCTGGTAGAATTAACATTGTGACTGGCGGCCTTCATACATTCCAGAAAGGGAGGATCTATCTTCTCCAGGAGATTAGTGAGAGGACAAGGGTGCCAGGTTTTCCATGACCTTTACCCTCAACTGAGTCACTGGGGAGGGAACCAGCTACAAAGACACCACTACAGTTGCCTCAGTAATCCCCTCTGAAACTCACTCATCAGAATTAGAGGAGAAAAGATGAGTAATCAACAAAGTAGAAAATGTTTCCCAAGGTCTGGACCCTGGCTCCTGTGTTTGAGTATCTTGCCTAAAAGCCTCCTTTTGCCCCTCCAGTTAAAGCGTTATATGGTAGAGGGAAGGGATCCAATGACTGTTATCAGAAATGATGTGTGCTACTTCTGAGCCAACGCGGTGAAGAACCACTGTGCCATCTCCATCTCCTTTTCCTTTTCAGGGGCAACTTCGAAAGCAATATGCTGATATGGATAAGCAACTAGATCCCTGAGTCATTGGTTGAAGGAAAACTCCTACCAAGCCACCTTGGACTTCTAGTCAGTGAAAATTTAATTTTTGTTGTGTTAAGACACCAAGATTAGGAGTTGGCCTGTGCCAACCACCAGCAATAATTATCCTAATAGGTTGGTGTTAGGCTAGTTGTTTCCAGGAAAAGTATTCTAGCAAGCAACAGCTATTCTTCAGAATAGGCTGATGGAAGCCTGTTTCTGCCTAGTCTTGCACAGTCTCCACAAGTTTTCACAAGCATCCTTTGTGGGAGCCTGGAGTACTAACCAATCCCAAAAGGACATCTCTGGATTGCTGAGGTCCCTGCAGCTTGATGATTGGAAAGTAACTTCCTCAATGTCCAGGGAGCTCTTACTGAATCTACCAACATTCTGGCTACATAGGCACAACCAGTGGATCTGACTGCATTGATTCAGTCAACAAATGTTTACTACGTACTTATAAAGGTCCAGACAGTCTTCTGGGAGCTGGCATGTATAGTGGCATTTCACCTCCTTCATGGTCCTGCTCCCATCCTCCCAAGATGGCAATTATATAACATGATGGAAAGCACATACTCAGGAACTGAGCTAGGTACCGGACCACATCAAGGACCTCCTCCAACTCCTCAAGAACCCATCAGATAAGAATTCTTCTCTTGCTCTTATAGATAAGGAGCCTGACTTACAGAGAACCTCCAGGTGACAAGGCCAGGAAGTGCAGAGACTTCTCAGCTCCCAGACTCCCTAACTTCTGTACTCTTTTTGCTATACATGGATATTTCAAGATTCCTTCCCAAATTAGTCACATGAGATTCTCAGGATGTTCTCTCCATGGTCAAGTTCATCCAGTAGGCAGAGAACTTTCTTACTAGTCACAGGACAGCTGATTCAGATTCTGGCCCAAGAATCATGAAGTAAGTATGTTTCTAAGAGACATGGATATACACTCCATAGAGTCAGACATAGGACAGGATTTGGAGGAAATCTGGATTGGTCCCTTGTATTCTTCTGGGATTATAGCATACCTTCTTGCTCTGTCCACTCCTCCCCCATTAGCATATTTGTGGAGGAGGAGATAGATGTTATCATCCTTTTGGATGTTTCTTTTCTATGGTCTTCCCCTGTTGGCTGGCAGGGAGATTTTTTTTTCCACTCTAAGTGCATTTTCTTTGATTAGACTTAAGTAAAGAAGGAGAGTAACTGTGAATTAATCCATCAAAGGATTGTTATAAAATATGTCTGTGGCCCTGGTGTGAAGTTTTAATAATAATGATTACTGGATCAGGGATGAGGGGAAAGGTGGGAATTAAAAGAAATTTTCTAAAGTCAAAATGCATATTCTTCAAGTCAGAATGTGAGAGAAAAGAACAGACTCAAGATGCAGACTAAGGAGTCATCTTGTTCCAGAGCCAAAGAAATTGCCAACTCAGTAAAACATCGCCTTTGATGCTTTTGCTGTAGGGACTTTCTCTTTAATGGGGGGTAATTAATTATCATCATCCACTCTTACTTAGTAATAATTCTTTTATAGGCACTTGGGCATTCCACTTGAATGTCATTCTCTAACATCTATGCTGGAGGGAAGTAGTTCTTGGGTGGATGAAAATTGCATCCCTGGAGAGCTTCTGCCTTGGGGCACATTCTCCCTAAAACTCTGTGACTCACTAGCTATATGGAGCTTTGAGAGCTAGACGTTTTTTGCAAGGCCGTGGAACCCTGGATCATCATACTTGGTATGGCCTGAGGGAGTGGAAAAGAGTGGACACAACCCTGTTCTTGCTCTGGAGGCAGAAGAACACCATGAGACCCTTGGTGATTACTGAACAGTGATCCACGATGTGCTGGCTTCAGTTCCATCTCTGTTCTATCCGAACAGCATTGGGCAGATCACTTCCTGGGCTGAGCCCTCCAACCTGAGCCAGGCATAGCATGTGCTTCTTCTCCTGACCTCACTCAGCTGTTCACAAAGGTGACTGATCTCATCCAGAGGCTGAGAGTGACAGAGCTCTTCAAGGACAGGTGCAAAATAAATAGAAGCTATTAAGGTTGACCTCATGATGATTACATGCCTTGAACAAGTGTTGCAGCACCCTGCCCCTGTGCTCATGGCTTTTTCTCTGCTTTCTTTTTGGCTGAGAGTTTGTTCTCTATCATAAAGGTGGATGGTGGGAGGCAGGACGGGGAGTGGGGGACTGACAATTAGAGGGCATCTCAACCAGTCCAGTACTTCACTAGGGCACTTCATCTGGGTTTCCTTGCTGAATTCTCACCACTGTTCTTGATGTCATATCACTTCATTTACAGATGGAAAAAATGGGGTCCAGAGAAGTTAAATGCCACACTCAAGATGACAGTGCCAAAGCTGGAGTCCATGGGGCCAGAGGCTGGGCCATTTCCACTTTGCAACACCACCTTTTAGGTAGAAAAGTAAGGGCAAGAGCGAGTCAAAGCCAGAAGGAGAATGAAACCAGCCTCATCATCCCTGTTCTTCCCATCTATCTTATTGTTTCTTTAGGATTTCTTTCTTTTAGAAAAAGGGAGAGAGAGTGAAGAAGGATAGAGAAGAGATAGATGGAGAGAAAAAGAAAGACAATGAATGGGGGCAGGGGCAGAGGGAGAGGAAGAGAATTCCAAGCAGACTCAGAACTGAGCCCAGAGCTGGACTTGGGGCTCAATCCCAGGACCCTGAGATCATGACCTGAGCTGAAACTAAAAGTCGAATGCTTAATCAACCAAGCCACTCAAGTGCCCCTCCCTCTGTCTTACGCCAGACCTCCCTCCTTCTAACTTAAACTGTGTCCATCCTGAGAGATCAGTTATGGTGAAATGGCCTGGCTGACCATCTCCTGTTCTGCCCTACATTCCTGATGGCAACATCCCCTTCCCCTCACTTCTCCCCTCTAGCGTCAGTGAGGAGAAATGGCCTCTCATCCCCCTCTTCCAGGGCCAGAGTGCCCTCCTCCCCTCTCCCTGTTGCCATCCCACCCAGAGCCTCACACTGGCTCCTAGACTTGCCAGGCTTTTGGTGACAGGGAAATCAGAGGAGGAATATGGGCTGCCAGGTCGTGTCAGGTACCAGGGACCCATCTGGGGAGATAAATGGAGTGCCCTGCCCTTTCTACATTTTCTGGACCACTGAGAAGATGGAATTCCAGAGATAAAGTTCCCTCCCTCTCCCCTCTGTTGGCTCTTGCTAATGGAGCCTGTTGATTTTAATCTTTGAAAGAGGAGGGGAGGGGGACCTTCAGGAGGGCAATGCTGCAGATGCTCCACAGGGCAGCCCAGAGGCCACAGGCTTGGTGCTCAGTTCTGGAAAACACCTGTTAATCTTTGTCTCTCCTCTTTAACTGCCATGCATGGCATTTTCTCAGCTGAAATGTGGTAAGAGAAATAGTAGCTTAGGGGCCAGTACTGAACAGAGAGAAAGTGCATTATGTCTGAGAAATTGACGTTCCAGCTTCTATAAGGATGGAACTGAGATGAAAGATGAGGTGTGTGTGTGTGTTCAAGAGAGAAGGATGGGTCACCGAAGTCAGATATTAAGAAGAACTTCCAGCTTGGGAGGGGTATGATGTTAGGGCTAGAGGTGGAAGAAAAAGAGGGTCATTTCTAATAGAGGTCTCAGCTCAGGGGAGAACTCAGAGGAAGGGGATGCACTCAGAGGACAGCTTTTGGGCCAGGAAGTTTGATGGGAGATAAAATAAAGCACAGGCCACCACTAGGACCCCAGAGCCTGAAGGCATCATCCTTCAGTACATTCTGGGCTGGGTGTTCCTTCCTTTTCTATTACAATATCATTATTGTCTTCTAAATAGTTAGCTGCTTTACCTCACAGGCAATGGAAGCAAATTCATACACCAGAGTGGAGCTATTGGCTCAAATGCATTTCTGACCTCTTAAATTCATATCATTTCTAATCTTCCAGATCCAGACTGCATCGTGGTGATCTCATGAGAAAACACTTCATACACTCTTTGTCCGTGGCCACATAACTAGCACTGGAACCTGACTGTGTACACACCCCCTGCCTCTCCTTATGATGCATTCACTGAAGGGTCTTCCTGAGCATCATCTTTTACTAATCACCACAAACAGAATTCTATTTGGTGGAAGAAACTAAAGAGGCTAAGGAATCTGCTCACACCCCTAGAATCACTGAGGAACAGAGCTGGGTGCAAATCTGAGCACCCCAGTTCTAAGACCTGTGCTTGAACCTGATCATTGGAGAGTTCCCCCCTTCTGAGAACCTACACGTTACCTGACAGGGTTCCTGCCTACTTACATTCTGTTCTGTTGCTTATTACTTCAGAGCAAACTACCCGTCAAACATGGTGCCATAGGATTTGCTTTCTCAATTCTGAGAGTGAGAAATCAGAGAGGGCACATTGGGAATGACTCTTCCTTCTCCATGATGTCTCGGGCTTCAGCTGGGATGGCACAGATGGCTGCAGATTGGAAGAGCCAAGCTGGGGGATCCACTTCCAAGATGGCCTCTTCACTCCCAGATCTGGTGCGTTGACTGGGATGGCTGTCACCTGAGGCATCGACTAATATCTTCTTTTAGTCATGTTGGTGACACAGAGTGAATTCTTACATGGAGACTCAGGGCTCCAAGAGTGAGTGCCCCAGTGAAAGTGGAACTTCATTCCTTTACAACTAGCCTTGGACGTCACCTAGCCTCCCTTTTGCTAGCCACTACTAGCCCAGATGTCTCAGACTCACTCATAGCTAAGGGGAGGGGACACTTCCACCTCTCAATAGAGGACTGTCAAAGCCCTGGGTGTTATATGCAATGGATAAATAACTGAACTCTACATCCGAAACTAGTGATATGTTATGTTAACTAATTTACTTTAAATAAAATAAGCTAAAAAAATAAAACCACCATATATGTATTAAAACTCTGTGTCAGTCAGTGGGTTGAACACTTCAGATCTAACATAGACCAAGGAAAAAGTACTTGTCACATGTTTTTTTAAACTTTCCTTTTAAGATAACTTAACAGAAAGTGTTGAGATGGAGAATATGTGGGCTTTTATTTACCTGAAGGCATCTTCTTCCTCATCACCATGGTGGCACAGGAAAGAAGAGAAAGTGAGTACTATCTGCCTGTGGCATGTTGACCGAAGGGAAAACAAATAGCTCTGTCATCTTGCCTATGGTTCATATTCAAAATCAGCCCACCTGGTCCAGCTTTTCCATTTTACAGCTGAGAAGGCTGAGGCCCAGAGAGGAGGACAGACTTGTGTAGGGCTGTGTGGTTCAATATGGCAACCACTAGACACATGCAGGTACTTAAATTGAAATGAACTAAAATTAAAAGCTTGGTTCCTCAGTCACATTGCAAATGTTCTCCAGCTATGCGTGGCTGCTGGCTTCTGTGTCGGACAGCACAGATAGAGAATGTTCCTATTTTTGTAGAAACTTCTCTTGCGTAATGCTGTTCTGGAGTCATATAACCAGTCTAGTCTAGGACTGAATCCTAGTCTACAACCCTCTACTCTGCTGACGAGGTCCAGGAGTTTTCCCCAGGGAAGCTGCAGTGACTTGGGGCATTGTCTCCAGAGGCTCAAAGCGCAGAGCCCGTCTCTTGTTTTGGCCTGTGCACTTTTCTGGCTGACTCTCTGGTTAACCAGGTGCCACCTCCAGGTGTGCTGAAAGGGGCTGAAGGATGGGGAATGGGTGGCCCTGGGGTCTCTGCTGGGGATGGGGAGGACCTTGGAGATAAACTTTTGGCAGCCCCTTGGAAAGCTAGCCCTTCAGAGTAGGGGGTAAGCCCCCTGCCAGGGAAGGGAGACTCCCTCTCCTCTCACTGCTGTAGACACAACCGCATCACCAGCTTTCCTTCGGCTGCAGTGCTGGCCAGTCCGCAGGCCCCAGCTCCTGTTCTTCAGCCTGGCAGCTCTATGGTATCACCTTCCATCTTGGACAGGGGTCCTCCATTCAAGGTCCTCTTAGATCTGCCAGCCTCCCCCTGCCCTCTTGGGGCCAACATCATTGCCCTCTGCCCTCTTTCCTGCTGTGGTGGGAACAGAGGCATTGGCACCCTTTTCCCCATTCCATTGCCAGGCGCCACCACAGTCTCCAAGGCCCAGTTCCCACTCAAGGGCTGAGTGGCAGATGCCCAAGTCTTGGCTCCTGGCCCCAGCTCCACTCCCAACCTTGTACATGACAATGGTTGTGTCAGTTCTTCTCTATGCACTTCATTTTTCGTCAGCAAAATGAAGCAGAAGATGGGGGTGTTTAGGTCAGTGCTTCTCAAACTTTACCTAAATCTCTTGGGGAATCTTGCTAAAATGCAGTTTCTGATTCTGTAGGTTTGGGATGGGGGCTGAGATTCTGCATTTCTTTCTTCCTTTCTTTTCTTTTCTTTTCTTTTTTTTTTTTTTAAAGATTTTACTTATTTATTTGACGGAATGAGAGAGATCACAAGTAGGCAGAGAGGCAGGAAGAGAGAGAGGGAGGAAGCAGGCTCCCCGCTGAGCAGAGAGCCCCATGCAGGGCTGGATCCCAGGACCCTGAGATCATGACCTGAGCTGAAGGCAGAAGCTTAACCCACTGAGCCTCCCAGGCACCCCAGATTCTGCATTTCTAATAAGCTCCTAGGTGATGCTTCTGCTGCTTCTCTGGAGTGCAAAGATTTTGTGCTCTTCTATAGAACTTTCCATGGTGGTAGAAGTGGCCTTTATCTGAGCCTGCTAATATGGTAGCCTCTAGCCCCTGTGGGTATCGAACACTCAAAATGTGGCTGGTGAGTCCAAGGAAGTGACTTATAAATTTTCTCAGTTTCAATTAACTGACACTTCATTGTGTGGAAAGTGGCTACCAGCTTGGGCAGCACAGATAAATAACCTCTAAGATCTGCCACTGATAAGTGGTGTGAATTTGAATAGGTCACCTAGTCTCTCAGCACTGGAGCTTTCCCACTAGTAAAGAAGAAATTATGGTAAGGTATCACTCTTTTTGTCTAACAGGGCTATTGACATGGGGCAGTGGTAAGTTCTAGAATAATTTTAGGCTCTATAGACGTGGGTTACATAGTAATGATCACTTATATCAGTGAAGTGTAGTAGTTTTGAATAATTAATGCATTAGGTTTCCTTCACAAGGAGGAGGCATGTTTTGCGAGATGGGAACATGTCTTAAGCCTCTGGATCTTTGCGTAGCCATCAGCACTGCAGTCCACTAGGAGTGCAAGTTATTGGGGTGACTCAGCTCCCTGGCTCTCACCCCCAAGGCAGATTGCAGCCTCTAAGGAGAAGAGAAAAATCACAGCCTGCCCTGCTACCCTGAGGCCTTCACCCTGAAACTTACTCCCTTTTCCCACTTTTACATGTTCTTGAGTCTGAGTCAAATTCCCTGAAAAGAAATTATTAGAAGGACAATTTTCTAAATGATCAATTTCACCTATTGACTAATGTACCAAATTTACCAAACTGGATAGTTTGTAATATTTGACTAGAATGTTTAGCTACTTTAATGGGAATGTCTTAAACTTAATATAAATGTCTCATTTTTGCTACAAATGATGCTACATAAAGAAGCATATTTTATAATTAGTAATTCTATTTCAGCATTTCACATGGGAACTTTTCAGTTTATGCTAATATTTATGTGTAACTGTTTTAACTAATGGCTACTTTTGATTTTCTTTGTATGCTTTGGAATATAAATTCTAGTTTAATTTAGTTTAAAACTGATTCATCTTGCATGCTTCCTAATTTCAAATTAAATTTTGGATTTTTTTGATATTGAAGATTTAGTTTAAATTTAAATTTAATGCTTTAAATCTTTTTGAGTGCTTTTGAATATAAATAGAATAAATATAAGTGTCAAATTGCCAGGAGTATAAAAATTAAGGAATATATGAACATCACTGAAAAGTGCTTGATGTTTAGAGAAATGGAAAATAACATTGTGGCATAATAGAATTTAGCAGTGGTTAAAAAAAATTCCCCACACATAAGGAAAAACAAGTCTCTTGATTTTATGGCTGTTCTATACAGAAATAAACCGTGTCTTATGATAAGTAACATTGTCCTTTTTTGGCAAATCAGCTAAGCAACTCAAAAAGATATTTTTATATTATTTTATTATTTTATTAAAGATTTACTTACTCTGGACATTGCTGCTATGAACATTGGGGTGTCTGTGCCTCTTATTTTTCACTGTATCTGTATCTTTGGGGTAAATACCACAGAGTGTTATACACAACTAATGAATCATTGAACACTACATCAAAAACTAATGATGTACTGTATGGTGGCCAACTTAACATAATTAAAAAAATAAAGATTTATTATTAATTTAGAAAGAGAGAAAATGAGAGAGTGAGTGAGAGAACACACAAGTGGGAGGGACAGAGGGAGAGGGAGAGAGAAAATCTCAGGCACACTCCCTGCTGAGCATGGAGGCTGATGCCGGACTAGAACCCATGACCCATGAGATCAGGACCTGGGCAGAAACCAAGAATCAGACACTCCACCAACTGAGCCCCCAGACACCCCTAGAAAGATACTTTTAAATGCCACTTTTAAATGCCATTGGGTTTTTGCCAATCTTCTTGCATATTTAGTATTTTGCAGATAGCCAATCTACCTTGATTTATTATTTCCAGTCCTTAATGGCCACATTTTAAAGTGCAAAATGATTGCTTTGCTGCTTCTGAATTGATTCTTCCTTGACTATAGGCCTGGTTTTTGACACATGACTAGTGTGACAAATCTCTTCTGGTCATTTTCAAAGCCCTTCCACTGTTTTGGTGTGCCTCTTCTTGCACCTTTCTACAAACTGCTGGCAAGTCAATGTAAAATCTTAATTAAACTAAAATGAAAACAAGTTAACTTTAAACAGCAAGCAAAAAAAAAAAAAAGCAGAATTTCAGATGTCATTAATGCATAATTTAAAATTCAATTCCATAGCAAAACCATTCAAAAGAAATTATAATATGCCGAAGAGATTGACCTATTTCACACTGGAATTAGGGGATAAACATTTCCATGAAGCATCATAACATGTGAATTTGGAAAAATTAGTGAATTGGTGATTTGGCAAATTTATCTTTCTAAGAACTGGCTTTCTGGGAATTTGCTCTCAGCAAATCGGCCTTCCAGAGAATTAGCTTTTACCAATTGGGCATTCATTGAAATGATGGATTGAACTGAGCTGGTGGGTTTCTACTCCTTTCCACCCTCACCTCTGGATTTTTCTAGAATCCCCTATTGCCCATATGAAGCCCCTGTGAAGTTCTACTTAGCTGGATTTCACAGGGGTGCAGATTCACTGAGGGCACTTAATGGCCAAGTCTTTAGGAGGTAGAGGGAATATTTTTACATTTCTTTGGGGCCTTGGGCATGCCAGAAACTCGGGGTTTAAATGGGTCTGATGATATGGGTATGGTATTCTTGTCCCCTCCCTGGCTTTGCCTTGAAAAATGCAAAATTACGGAATTCAATTCCATCTATGAAGCTAGATGGAAAGAAAATTAAGGACCCTCATTTAGTTCTGGAGTTGGAAGACACCTACTATCACCTTGCCTAGAGTTTCTTATCTTCCATACTACTGACATTTTGGACCAGATAATTCTGTATTGCAGGGGCTTTCCTGAGCACAACAAGATGTTTAACAGAATCTCTGGGCTTTCTGCACTAGCTGCCAGTAGCATCTCCCAAGCCGTGACAATTGAAAATGTCCCCAGATGTTGCTAAACATCTCCTTGGGAAGAGAACAGTAAAATCATCCCTGTCTGAGAACCTCTGATCTACTCTCCCATCCAAAGTAGATCTTCCTTTTAGACTTTATAGCATACACCCTCTGAATGCTGCAGAACCCTGAGAACTCACCTTCTCACTTTGGTGTTCCTGGAAGTCAGCTTTACTGATGTCAGGAGAAGACCATGGGCTTTGGGACATACCATCCTGGGGTCAGATCGAGTCTCTGACACTCATTAGCTGTGACCTTGGGCAAACTTCTTAACCCATTTCAACATGTTTCCTGACATGTCCTAATTCCTGCTCCATAGATTTATTGTAAGGGCTAAATATCTGTGTAAATAAAATGTTTGCCCTTTGGTGTGTTTGGTAACTATATTCCCTAGATTGGGCCCCAATCCCCCATCTTTAATTATTCACCTACCATGATGAATGTTTGTGTCCCTCAAAATTCATATGTTGAAATCCTAATGCCCAATGTGATTGTATTATAAAGTCGGGCCTTTGGGAGGTGATTAGGTCACAGGGTGAAGCCCTCATGAATGGGATTATTGCTCTTATAAATAGGTCCCAGAGAGCTCCCTTGCTGCTTCTATCCAGTGAGGCCACCACAAGAAGTCAGTGGGCTGTAACCTGGAGAAGGATCTTCATCCGAACCTGACCATGTCAGGATCTTGATCTTGGACTTTGAGTCTTCAGAACTCTGAGAAATCCCTGCTGGTTGTTTACAAGCCATCCCATCTGTGGAGATTTGTTACAGCAGCCTGAATGGACTAAGACACTCTCCCTGGCCATGGTCCTACACCGCAGTGGCATGTAGACCATCGGATCTTTGGACCTTGTGACAGCTCTGAATTCAGCTGTTGCAGGTGGCATCCTGGGCTTGGTCCGTCCTAGCTGACCATGATCTATAAATCTCGATTCCTTCTCAAACAGTCCAGAGACAATAGCACATTACATTTGAAGGGAAAGTTCATCATTAAGTCTGTGTGAAGCTGGGCAGAAAGGAAACTTGGAGCTGGTACCATGATGAAGAGAGGGGACTCCTGAAGAGCTTGCCTGGAAAGTGTGCTCCTCCAGAGGCTTCAACAGTTGGCAGGCTGGATGCTCCCTCAGCCTGTGTTCCAGAAGAAGTGGCAGATGAACCACCTTTTTTTTTTTTTTTTTTAAAGATTTTATTTATTTATTTGAGACAGAGAGAGAGAGAGCAAGCATGAATGGTCGGGGGGAAGGCAGAGGGAGAGGGAGAAGAAGACTCCCTGCTGAGCAAGGAGCCCTATGTGCAGCTTGATCCCAAGACCCCAAGATCATGACCTGAGTGAAAGTCAGAGGCTCAACTCACTGAGCCACCCAGGAGCCCCCCTGTCATCAGTGACATCCTCGTGCTGCATACCTCACGAGGTCTCAGGCTAAGAGACTGTGGTCATGCTGCCCTTGACATCTCTCTTTCCCCACCAGTTGCCTATTTGGAAATAGCTCCTGACACTTTCCAGGAAGTATAAATGAGACATGAACCCTCCAGACTAGGGATCTGAGAAGCCACATGACCCCTCCAAACTGCCAGCATTTGCTGAGCAGTTTTAAAAAGAGCATTGGCGTCAGGGAAGCCACCAGATAGTCCTCCTAG